ATAATCGGGAAGGGAATTAAATAAAATACAGAACTGTGGTGCGTAAGAAATGACAAGAACAAATAAGTAAATATATTAACGCACACAACAAGACCATGCCAGGGAAACCTTCTACGGGACTAAAACCCTGGCATAGGCCACACAAATACATGAAATAAATCACCTACAGCAATAAAATGCAAGAGAAAAATACACATAAATAAAACATCTCAAATTGTATGATAAAAATCAGATAATCAATTGAAATGCAATTAAACAAATTCATAAAATCAAAATACACAAGACATCATAAATGCAGTGCAGTGGAAAACATGATAAATCAATTCAGTACACAAACACTTCAAAATACCTGTACGATCAATTGAGATACACAACTCGTAAAATAATAAATTGCATGTACATAGGAAACATGTAAATGGTATGGCTCTACTCCAGCCTTCCGTTAATATAATTTAATTTACCACGAAAAGTACATGTGAGAATGCCATTGGCCAATAGCAAGTATTCATGTGAAAATAGATTATCGCTCAAACAAAACAAAACTCATATTGCTAAGATGTTAAGAACTACAATCCGCACGAGACGAGTAGGCAACAGATACACATACAGCGAAAAATCGAACTGCATTAGGCAGCTACTCCACGGAGACAGAATGACCCACTCGCACACACAAACATCGAAACAACAAATAAAAGAACCCCCCTTCGTATAGCTAACGCACAAGAACTGCAGCGCGCCACGAATCAGAAAGTAACAGATACATACAGCCAAACAATCCAACTGTATTAGGTACTTCCCTCACGCAATAGTTACGGATGATTCGGACAGAGCAACATCGCACTGATAATAAACTCCTCGTGAATACAGAAATAAATACTTAATTAAACAAAACAATGGCATAATCACCTGTACAGTATAACAAACAAACATGATTCATTTAACGGTACTTACTCAAAACAAAGGCATGGAGTACGCCATGATTCAGATACGTAGTTTATGCAAAATCAGCAAAATGTAAATAATATCAAATTGTGGCAAGAAATTCAATGATTAAATAGCTAGTACAAGAAAAAATAAAATGGTTACTAGTTTTACTACCTGTAAATATACCTTCACCTTCAGAACACCACCACAAAAAATAATCAAGAATAAAAAAAAACGGAAAAGCCTGTGCCTTCCGTCGACCTCGTCGCCATATTCATTTCCCTCACAGAACATTTCCCTAGTTTCATTACGAAAATCCCGTAGTATTCGGCATCTGCGCAAAACGGTCGATTGGTTATACAGGGTGGTGCCTAGCACAACGCAGCATAGGAATTACATGATAATTTCTTTATACCTAGTCAATTACTAGCTCCCCAAATTATTTTAGAGCAAAAGTCTAAATACGTTTTTTTAGAGAAAAAAATACTGCATCTGTTCAGACTATTAGTTATAATTTTCCATTTTTCAAAACCGTAGAAATCGAGAAAATAAAAAATTACATTTTTTATAAATCAGTGATGCTTTGGAATCTTTCAACAAACTAGAAGCGCATCGCATCTACAATAGGTTATCTTGTTTGACGTCGAACGATTTTCATATTTAATTCTGTTTCAACTAACCGACGCAATAAAAGGCATCTTAGGGCGTTTGCCCACAGGACGGTAACGGCACGATTTGACGCGCGCGATAAATCGTACTCGATATCGCAACGACCAAAATTCATAAATTTGTCATATCATAAATGCAGTGGTCGCCCATTGGTTAAAAAATGTCGCGACGATATTTAAAACCGTCGCGGCCGGACGTTACCGCACACACCCGCGATTTGGCTGTCAAAAAGCGCGCAAATTCGTGTCGCCCGACTTTTGAACGCCAATAGGGTTAAATGATTTCTAGCCGACATGTCGAAATTGTCAACGATATATTTAGTACTGTGTTGTCATTTGGTGCGTGCTGTCTATAAATAATGTATAAAACGCAGGGATCCGGACCCAAATGAAATATCGGTTCCGGTTCTGTTTATATTTAAGCGAAAATATCCATAACGGTTCCGGTCCGGTTTCGGTTCTAAAAAGAAATAACGGTTCGGTTCTGCGCGTTTTCTTCGGTCCATAACGGTTATTTTCGGTTCTAGTTTTTCAGAAAGTATGGCATTAAAAAAATTCATTATAACAACGTGATTTGTTAATTAATAGGTGTGAAGAAAAGTCATGAATACCAAAACGTGACGTATCGTCAGAGTAGCTAAACTATAACGACAAGGGGAATAAAGGATGAAGAGGGAAATATGTGTTTACACTTAATTTATTACTAAAAAACAGAAAGTTTTATTTTCTAAAACCTTGCCCCTCCTTTTTTATTTTTTTTTAAGTACCTACTGGCTAAATTGGCGCCACCGCCACCCGTAATGCCTTCAATTTCCACACCTTATTAAAAATTTATAATCCATCGATGGCAATCATAGGGTAATATTTTATCAATTTTCAGGACGTGGTTGCCGGTGCGTCCTTCAACTTTCAATCATCTGTTAAGAACTGTAAAAAACCGAAAAGAACCGAAAAAAGTAATATGGGTTCCGGTTCTCAATACGTTTCCATTTCTGAAGGAATAATGGTTTCGGTTCGGTTTTCGGTCCAGAAAAAAATACTGGTTTCGGTCCGGTTTTCGGTTCTTTTTCGGTCCGGTCCGAGCCCCTGATAAAACGCCCCTTCCACATATCTGACCCTCAAAATAGGATGGACTCAATATGGCCTTTGAGTCTAGCTTGCCTTCTTCGGCGCCTACGTAAAACCATCGCTAATAAAATTAATTTCCTTCGATCCATCACTTCAAAGCTTACAGCACCAACTGACTAAAGTCGATCTGGCAACACGGAATATTAATCTAAACAGATTCGCAAGATTGCGGCGTAGTGGGCGAGCACTCAGCGGATGCGGCGCGATATATCGCGCGCGTCAATTCGTGCCGTTACCGTTTTGTGGGCATCTTAGGGTAATGTTTTTTTAGAGAATGTATGCTGCATCTGCATCAGATACTATTTGTTTATCATTTTTCGAACCAGAGTACCTACATAAACGAAGAAAAAAAACTGATTTGAAGAAGAATTGTTCTTAAACTTATATTCGGATTTTCCGCTACTGCAGCCAAAACGTTGAATGTATTGTCGTTTTCCTGATGGTTTTGACGGACATTTTGAACGTTATTGTTCTTGCAGTTCTTTAACTAATTTATAAACAAGTATAAATTTAATATACGTCAAAGGCAAATAATGAAACGTGATTTTTTTTAGGAAATTCCAAGGCATATTTGATTTATTGTAAAATGAACCTTTTTAATTTGTCGATTTCTACGACTTTGAAAAACGGAAAATTATAACTAATAGTATGAACAGATGCAGTATTTTTTTCTCTAAAAAAATGCGTATTTAGATTTTTGCTCTAAAATAACTAGGGGAGCTAGTAAATAACCATAAATAACTATAAAGAAATTACTATTGAAAACCCTATGCTGCGTCGTGCTAGGCACCACCCGGTATACAGCATATCATATTTTTGTTTTCGATGTAAAGGTGTGTTGCCTAACCATAAGGGTGGATCAGGATTATCACAGTGTAGTAGCCAACTTCGGGGCGGTCGAAAATTTACTCAGATTGCTATGAATACTGCAATTGCACAAATATGCGGTTATAAATTTACTTCGTTTACTACTGGTTTACTTCAGTAGCAATAATTATTGCGACTGCGCATGCGCCTGGTCTTACTCAATTTACTGAAATTGCTTCTGGAAAATAGGTGGTAAAACGTGAGTAAAACTGAAGTAAACGAGTGAACAGCTGATTTTGACATTTAAACATGGCGGTGAGCACGGAGGTTAAGGAATTAATTTTAGTAGACAATGAAAATAAAGAATATACGGTTTTGCTTAGCTCTCAAGACCACGCAAGAGCTCTTAATGGTGATGTTGAAAAAGTATAATGAACACTAAAATTTCTTAATTTGTTTTAGATTTAACATTTGCTTCAGCATTGTTGAGGCATGCTATCTGCAACCAAAAGGTAAACAAAACCCCGAGTGCTTCTCCAAATGTGGTTAATATTTGTCAACCTGGTACTTCTATTAACCCAACTCCTAATGTAGTTGACGAAAATCAAGAGCTACCAAACGATGAAAATCAGCCATTGTCACCGCTAAGCGATAATTCTGACAATAGTGAAGGTAAGGTGCAATACATATTTAAGTATTTAAAACATATATTTCAGAATATTTAGGCCGCTGGCCACACGAAGCTATTCTATTATTATTAGATACATATTATGAGAAATGTGACCAGCTTTTAAGGGGAAAAGTGAAGCCAAAACCATTTTGGGACGATATTGCTAGAATAATAAATTCCCATGGATATAAAGTAAGTGGGACACAATGTCGCACCAAACTAGCGACACTGAAGCGACAGTATAAAAAAATAAAAGACCACAATAACGCTTCAGGTAACGAACGCAGGGAATGGATTTATACAGAGGTAAAGTGATGTTATAATAAGCACCTCTTTGTAAATATAAACTTGTAGAAAATGGATGAATTATTCAGCAATAAACCTTGGGTAGAACCAGTTGCAACAGCGTCTTCAGATGGTGGTAAAGAAAATGTATTCCAAAGTACATCATTTTCTACACCAGAACCTGTACAATCACCTCTACCACAAAGTAAGCACCTATTGCATATAAATTAAAAGTTTTAAGATGTAATACTTTTTAGACGTCAAATCCAAGAGGGTGGTTGATCTTCTAGCAAAAATTCGAGAGGATCGCCAGAGGCATCACGATGAACGAATGTCACAACGATCAGAGGCAATGGAGTTATTAAGAAGCTTAGTAGATAGTGTAAAAAAAAATCCTGATTGATTTTAATATCATCATAATGTAAGTTGCAATAGTGTATTATAGTATAAAAAAATATACATTAGTTTTGTTTTAATATAATGTAAGTTATGTATTTGTTTATAAAATAATGATAACAATCTATTAAGAAATTAAAATTCCTCTTGTAAAGGAAGTTCTTCGGCAGTTAAGTTTCTTTTCTGACATGCTATGGCAACGTTTCTGTCATCAGCTTGCACATTATGTGGTAGTGGTACAACCACCTCAGGTACACGATGCAAGTCAATCGCTATAGGTGTAAATTGATCTTGTCGCAATAAACATATATTATGTATAATGCAGCATGCTACAATATACTTTGGAATTAAGTCGCCTCTCGTCATGGGCAAATTATCAAGCAAGCGTCTCATACGACCCTTTAAGAGACCAATGGCCCTTTCAACAGCCATTCGTGTGCTTGAATGGCACTTGTTGTAATTATGTTGTCTTTCAGTTAAGTGGCCATTATCTTTGTACGGAACCATTAAATTCTTACGGATAGCGTACGCTGCGTCTCCCAACAAATGATAGTCATTTGGAAATTTTTCAGAGTCATTTAAAAAATGTGACACCTCTGAACTTGCAAAAACCCTCTGGTCGTGGACCGATCCTGGGTGTCCAGTGTAACAGTGTATGAACTTCCCTTTTTCATCACTAACAACCTGTAATCAATTATATGTAAATATATATATATCACAAATGCATATTACAAAACCTGCAATTGTATGGAATGTATTCCCTTTCTGTTAACGTAGGCCTCAGGATGTTCAGTAGGGGCAGTAATCGAAATATGGGTCCCATCGATAGCTCCAATAACATTTGGGAACCCAGCAACAACTTTAAAAGCGCGAGCACTCTCTTGCATTCTTGCAATTCTTGGCCACTTGATGAACACCTTTACCTTACTATATAACACCTCGACCACTTTACGTACAGCCATAACTCCTGTGGCTTTACCTACGCCAAAGCGATCACAGACAGACCTACATGTATACAGTTACACATCACCTACACTAATGTATATACGTACCGATAAGAATCAGGTGTGCCAAGAATCCACAAGGCAATCAATAGTTGCTTCTCAGCTGATATACTGGGTCGACCAGGAGAAACAACATGTTTGCTAATTTCAGGGCCAATTATGTTTAAAATAAATTCAAAGGTGTTTCGCTGCAGTCTGAAATAGGTATATGTACAAATATTAACATAACCTAATAATATTATATACCTAAAATGTGATTGGAATTGATCATTGGAGTATAAATGCACAACATTCTCCACATAATTATTTATTCGTGCTAAAGGTACCTTCTTCTTCGGAGTAACAACTGCAAAAAATTCTTCTTCCTCCGAACTGCTACTATCAAAAATTTCTTGTAGTAGTTGATAAATTGCAACAGTATCGTTTATACTTATATTGGTCATGATTTTTCGTTTGAAGTCTTAGGTTATGTCACAATCAGTGCGGTTATGTGGTTACGTCATCTTTTACTCATGTTACTCACACAACGGTCGAAAACTTATTTTACTGAGAGTAAAAAATAATTTTAGACCGCTTTACTTCATTTACTTTACTTCGATTGCACACAATACTGTCAGTAAATTTTCGACCGTACCCGATAGTAAGCTCAAGGAAATTTAACCACCAATCAACCATTGGACACTCTCGGAGTACATCGTTACCAACGCGATCGCATTTTGTTTTTAATTCAGATGAGATGCCATTTTACATGAACAACTAAGATTATACACATCGTAAACCTTCGAGCGATCGGTTTTAACCTCGGTGCAATTGCAGGTTCGAGTAAATCTTATCGTGCATTCATATTGCGGTTTTTGTTTTAACCTTTTTTTACCGGCCGGCGGTCCACTTACTGCGAAGTTTGTTGCTATAGTAAGGGTGCTTTCACACACACCGGCAAAACCGGAGCCGGTTCCGGCGCCGGACCGGAAGGAATATGCACACATACCGGCATTTGCCGTCACCGGATCCGGCACCCGGTAAAACGAAGAAGGTTCGGTCAACGCTCGGGCAGGCACCATTTTAGTTTGATTCTGAACGACGCGCGAGAAGCATTGCCATTATGATTAGTGAAAGACATAGGCGCCGCAATTTACTGATATCACTACATCTTAGGCGAAAATATAGGAAACGAGAACGCCAGTACTGGGTTCATCCCATTTTAGCTGTGAGGTATACTGCATTCTGCATTCTAAAATAAAAATATGAGCAAACACTATCCCGACACCGGTTTTCTCAGCTGCGTGTGCATGATTCCATAACTTAACCTTGAAACCGAAAAGCTGCTTCCCGCCCCGGCCACCGATTTATCGAGTTCTGGTCCGGCGACACAAACAGCCGGGACGGCATTACGCCGGATCGGACTGTATGTGCAAGCCCAAATTTAATTACATTGCATCCGGCGCCGGAACCGGAACCGGCTCCGGTTTTGCCGGTGT